GTGAAGGCAATGCTGAGCTAGATGGCCCCAATAATCTGACTTGGAATAAGGCACCTTCCATGCTCCCAATGCTCAAGCAAGAAGATCTGTAAGAGATGCAATTTAATTTTCAGCCTGGGAGGAAGGGTAACTTCCCAGCCACCACTGAGCAAGTTCAGCCTCTTTCTTTTAAGTCTGCTGGGTCAAAGTGTATCTTGTGAAACTATGGGGAGGAGAAAGTACCCAATGGTGCAGATGGAACCTGTTTTTTGTTTTTTGTTTACAAAGTCATGTGGAGGGAGATTTAGGAAGGCAAGGAATAAATCTGCCCTCCCTCCATGTTGCAATCCCAGTAACAATCAGTTTCCCACAGCTGTAAGCTAATTCAATAAAAAAACCAGATGTTGTTGCATGCAAGATATTAAGCATGACATATACCTCTGACCCTTAAAATGCATTGGTGATACAAGACCAGATATATTTTTGGGCTTAGCAGGCACAGGATCTAATCAGATTTCTAGACAAAATTAGCAAGCCTAGCTGGGCAAGATTTATATTATTAACACAAAAGAAAAGAAAAGAAAAACAACATGTCATGCTTGGGTGACATCTGTTATTGCTGAGGCTTTTCCAATTTATCTTTTGCAATAGGTTACATGTCTTCTCCCTAAACCCTGGTGAGAAGCAGATCCCTTCTGAACTCCAGATGCAAAATATAAGCCACATTCACCTAAACCACGTTTTAGGTCTACATACATGAGGTGGAATGAGTCTGAGAAAAGCCTCAGACTTGCATGCTCCTTCCTCAGTCCCCTGTCCTCCCCCTTAGCTGAGGACTTTGTGAGTATTCAGCAACACTTTACATTGATTGGCTTGCCATTGTGTATGAATCAGGGTTTATAATCTATCAACCGTGTTTTGAAGTCGGCTTGCTTTTGAAAATGACCAGTGTTTGATACGCAGTTAATTATAGACTATAATCTCTGGTTCACACACAACAAACTGAGATTAGCGGGAAAGTGAAAGTAAACACTGGCAAACTCCTTCTCTTGGCCAGATGGGAGCGTGCAAGCCTGAGGCTTAACTTGGTTTCATTACATACATGTGGCTGCTTTGAACCAGAGGTTCAAAAAGCAGTTCAGGGCTGCATGAAAGCTACTTTGCAAACATCCCCATCTTCCTCTTTGAACCTCTGGTTGCAATCAATGAGAAGGAAATAGGTTGGTGTAAAAAACGGGTTTATCCCTCATTTGAGGGGGGGGGTGTTAGGGGAATGGAAGCATCCATCACTTTTCCTAATGCCCCCCCCCCATCATTTTGCCCTCTGTGATGTTGGACAGGCACCGACTACAGATCTTTTCATAGCTTCATGGAGGAGTCAAAGAAGGTCAAACCTCCTTCTCTGGAAGCATGTCTCAGGAAGGGAGACACAATGAATCTATGGTGCCCCAAACACCCACCCAGGGACCATAGGATTGCAGCCTAAATCTTTATTTCTTACTAATGGAAACAGGTTTACCACACCTATCAGCCAATCACTCATTCCCACCATCCCTCTGAGCAATACCCCTCCCCACCCTCTCACTATATATAAGGGTCTGGTGACTTCTGTTTCAGTGTATCTGAAGAGGTGTGCATGGACACAAAAGCTCATACCAAGAACAAACTTAGTTGGTCTCTAAGGTGCTACTGGAAGGATTTTTTTGTTTTACAATGGAAACTGAAATAGTGATAGTTCACTGATGGACAAATTTCAAGAGATAGCACGATGAAGCTGTTAGCTGTGAGTGTGTAGAGGAGGGGTCAGCAAGGTTTACCTCACCTGGGCCGGTTCACTCCCGTGGAAATCGCTCTGTGGGCTGGATTGTGTCTGCGCAGACATGATTTCCAGCACCGAGGAAAGCGCAGCACTTGGGGACTCGCCGAGCAGGCGGCTTGGTTCAGAGGCAGCTCATGAGCTGTTTAAATAACCCCCACTGGGCTGCTTGTGGCCCATGGGCCACAGGTTGCCGACCCCTGGTCAGGATGGGTTGTTTAATTTCATCCCTTGTAAATAAATCAAAGCCTATTTTATGAGACATATTGACTGTATAACAAAATCAGTGTTCTTAACACACTGATTTGTGGGGGCAGATATCTGTAAAGCAAGTAATGGACATCTGGGGATGCCATCTTCTAAATATTCCTCCACCATGGCTGAGATTATTGCAAGGCACCAATCAATGCCTCAGTAAGCATAGACATTTAAAGAAAGTGAAAGCATCCTTTCTTTCAGCATGTGGTTTCTTTCCAGCCTTAGGCTATGTACACCTTCACAGTTTAAAATGCAGCAAGGTCATTGTGCACCTCCACCCCCATTTCAAGTAGTATTTGCAAGTTTTTGTACACATCAGAGAGGGACTGGGGATGTCAGCACCCAATGTGCATTATCTGTTGGGTCTTCCTGCCCCTGCAGTACTCTCACCTCACCTCCAGTTCCTATTTCTGAAGCTGTCATCCATGCATGTGCAATGGCTACCTCAAATGTACATACCTCAGCTTAACACCAAAGTGGATGTGCCCTAAAATTTCCTTTAGGATTTAAGCTGCTTTAAGAGAAAATGCACCCAGGAGCAGTTTTTCTCCATAAATTACAGAAGAGCTCTGCATTGTGGGTAGCATCACATGTACACAGATTCAAAAGCCAGTGGCAGGAGCGCACTGGAGCCAGAATAAACGGTAAAGTGTGCACAGACTTATTTCAAACCCCTTGTCATTTTCTTGTGGTAGGAGTGAATGAGTTTCGAAAAATCAAGATCTTCTCATGGTGTAACAGTAACTCAGCAGTCATAACTAATCAAGAGTTGATAACCTGAGCATACTATAGTGCAGCTATGCAATCACTTAAGAGGTTCATCTGTTTCCTCATTGTGAGCTCATTTTCTCTGTTTCTGGTACAGTAGACATACAAGACTAGCCAGAGGGATCATGTTAGGTACTTGGCATAAATATCAATCTATTTCTTCAGAATTCAGCAATAACTGGTTAAACATATAATTATATTCTCTTTAGGCTGCTGCCTTATACCTAATTACCTGGAAGGAAACATAATTGAACTCAATTACACTTACTTCTGAGTAGACATATGTAGGATTGCACTGTGAAACTGAACTTAATTTTCTTGCTATTAATGGGGGTGTGGAGGTCAGCTGTCACTAAACAATAGCCCATAAGAGCTTTTGTGGGCTATTCACTGTCTTGTCAAAGTCCAGCTAGATAGCTTTTAGTTCATTCAACCGATAGTGAATCACAGTCTAAGCAATTTTCTGCTTTCCTGAATTTTGCACCTGTTACAAAGGACTGCATGTTGGCTGCTGTTCAAAACACTCTTCACAGATGAATATAAATGTAATCGACATTCCTAGCAGTATTACAGAAAGGCAAATCTATACCACATAAAGACAAAGCTACAATACAGCCTGTCATCAGTTAGAAGCTTTTAGTTGGTCAAATTAAAGGCCTTCATCATGATAGCTACTGCAAATCAAAGACAGCACCAATCTTTTGCAAAAGAGCAACATTCTCTTTAAAATAATTTAAAAACATTGCATATTAAACTACTGTACACTGTGTTTGCTGTTTCTGCTAGCCATCAAAATATTTCTTCATTTAAAAACAGTGTTTCATTCTATGTACTGTCATTGCCTAGGAACCCTAGTGGTGTTGTTGCTGCTGCTGCTATTGCTCAGATAATAAATAAATCAGAATAGTGGCAGGCAGTCCATAGAGACCAAGGAAGAAAATGGAGGCACTTGCTAATTTTCAGGTACAAATTGCTATTTCCAAACAGTGTTTGGCAACACACTCCTGGCACAGCAACTTTAAGGCTATTTTAGCCGACCATCTAATGTTTAGGTGGCTCTAGGCTTTATTGTAATTAAAAATTATGAAGCAGATCAATTGCTCTCTTCCTTCCAAACACCTATAAAACTGACATGAACATGTTAATGGAATTAAGAAGGGAAAACATAAATGGTTTCCTAATGAGTAACAGCAATGTTGTGAAGATGTCTATAGTGCCTTCCTTCCTGCCACAGATCACAAAGTGGTAAATCTACAGGGCTGCAATTAATCAGTTATGGTAAAAACAAAAAAATTCCTTCCAGTAGCACCTTAAAGACCAACTAAGTTAGTTCTTGGTATGAGCTTTCGTGTGCATGCACACGAAAGCTCATACCAAGAACTAACTTAGTTGGTCTTTAAGGTGCTACTGGAAGGAATTTTTTTGTTTTGACTATGGCAGACCAACACGGCTACCTATCTGTAACTCAGTTATGGTAAGTAAGTTGAAGGTTTATTAGCCAATTTAATATTTGTCCATGGAAGGATGCTACTGAATAATTAGTCAGAAGATTTAAAAAAAATAATAGAAATGATTATTTGAAAAATAAGTACTTAAAAAAACACTAAAGAAGGCACTTGCCTCTAAGATGGTGCTTACTGTTAATCTATTTATAAAACTGGACTTTTCCTTTAAAAATTATTGTTTGTTCACAGGGGGAAAAAACATGCAGGTTTAAATTGATTAATCAAAACTCCTACCTGTGAGAGAGTGCCACTGAACGTGGTGTACATCACTTCCTGGTAGCCATGCATGGCATTGTGCCCATAAATCAAACAAATATTTCTTTAATCAGATAGCAGATTTATAAATTAGCTGACCTCACAAAGTTCTCCTTATGTTATGTGCGATAGAAATTACTACCCCAATGGAACATATTTATTAAGAATCTGCTGTGTGCCTTAAGACCCTGGTCTCTCTTGTTCGACACAGATGATTGGACCTCACGCGGTTCCTGAGTTATTACAAACGTTCATTTTTTTTATGGAGGCAGTAAGTCTCTGGACACATGCCGCTGACTCTTATGGAAACGTAATAGAACGATTTTCACTTATTTGCATAATACAGCACAATGTGCAGTGGCTCGTGCACATTGTGAGTCTCCCCATTAATAAATACGGCCAGCGATTCATTACCATACCTCTCTGATAGCTGTACAAAACTCACTCTGCAGTACTTTTTTAAGTGACTGCAGCTTGTGTCCTGGTACTTCTCCAGCTTCTTGTAGTTTCTCCAGCAGTTCAATTGCTCTGGCAACATCTGAACAGATAAAAATAAGGCAAAAGGTCAGGGAAGGTCACATTTTGACTTGTATTACTGCTGTTCCAGCTACACCAAGGAGCATATGCTATAATTTTCAAATTGGACAGTGAGTTTTGCCACCCCACATTCCCTCCCCCCCCCCCCGGCTGTTCAAGTTCAGATCTGCGTTTTCACTGACTTAAAAAAAATATGACTATTGCTTTAGGCTGCAATCCTAGGCAGCCATACATGCAGGCATTGGAAAAGAGCAAATATTGCCCGAGGGGTTTTGAAAGTTTTTCCTACAGTCAATCATCTAGTTAATCAGGTAAGCCCACTTGGGCAAATCTTATGACACAACGCACAAGCTGACACAATGCACCAACCTGACATACACCTCTCCCTCATTTTGGCAGTCTTAGTAAAAAAAAAAGAAAAAGAGGGGGGAACCCTCAAACAACAACAAAAGAGCAGTAGAGTATTCAATTGTGGGGACTGGACTACTAGGATAATGGAATGCATTGGTTTGTTCAACAGTGGAACATATTACCTCTGAGAAGGTGGTGGGCTCTCCTTTGCTGGTGGTATTCAAACCAGCAGTGGTCCAATGGCCATCTGCTAAGGGTGCTGTAGTTGCATCCTGCATTTGTACATTTTGCATTGAAGTGGGGTTGGATTAGACCAGGATTTCCCAAACTTGGGCCTCCAGCTGTTTTTGGACTACAGTTCCCTTCATCCCTGACCACTGGTCTTGCTAGCGAGGGATAATGTGCTTCGAAAACAGCTGGAGACCCATGTTTGGGAAAGAGTGGCTCAAATGACCTCCAAGGTCCTTCCTAACTCCCAGGATTGAACCTGGCAGACCTGGTCATTTTGTTATTCCTAGGTTGGTTTGGATACCTTTCAAGGCTATTAGCATTAATAATGGTCCTCTTTCGATCCTAATGCAGAGCACTAGGCTGAATGCAAGGATCTCATCACCTAATGCATGGCCCACAGATGGCTTATGTGATAGCCTGGGATTCCGAGTCTGAGAGTGAACCGGAGGAATCCCAGCTGGCACAGGAGTCCCCGCCTCCAGGGCCGGCTGAACTGGGGCAAGGCCTAGATGCCGAGGAGCCTGCACCTGTGCCAGATCCTCAAGAGCAGGCACCAGGTGAAACCATTCTGGCCCCAGAGGTGCTGGAGGACTCAGTGTCTGCAGGTGAGCCTCCTCCGGGGCCCAGTAACCCTTCGGCCTCTCCTGAACTGCAGAGGCTTAGGGCAGAGAGGCGAAGGGAACTGGTGTCTCCCAGGAGGAGTGCTCGCCTTAAGGCCAAGAGAGGCGGGGCTCCTGGGGGCCGGGACCGCCCCCGGCCTTAGAAGAAGATAAAGGTCAGGCAGCCCGGTCCCAGGTTGCGGGAGCAACGTCGTTATGGAGTATCTGCTTTACCCAGACCTAGATCGGCACTCCCAGTGTGCCTGTTCCTCGCCCGGCTTCCTGCTTCTGACTCTCCGGTGTTCCTGTTCCTCGCCCGGCTGCCCGCTGCTGACCTGCCAGTGTTCCTGTTCCTCGCCTGGATTCCTGCTTCTGCCCTACCAGTGTTCCTGTTCCTCGCCTGGATTCCTGCTTCTGCCCTACCAGCGTTCCTGTTTCCCCGCCCGGCTCCCTGTTCCGGACCTCGCGTCTCATCTAGTGATCGTCTACCCTGCTAGAGACTCTGGACTGAACTTGGGCTACGGTAATAGTACCTTCCCCCCCCCCCCCGGGACCAGCACAGCTTAACTTCGGCAACACTAATGGAGAGAAGAGATGATGGCTCTGACCCAGTTCCTCACTCATTCTGGTGACAAGACCTGCCAAAGCAGATCAACCTTCTGTCCACTGCCCAGAGGGACAGAAATGCAATGACCACAATAATGGGACGAAGAGCTGTTTATCAGCAGGTGCCCCATGTTTGCATGATAAAAAGTTGCTTGCTGCCTCCTTGTCTTGCTATTTTGTGAGCTGCATGTATAATGTGATGGTCTGGTCCTTATTTATTAATTTTGATTAACTGATGGGATAAGGGAAAACCACAGCTTTAAACACAGTATCATTTCCTCCTGTTTGGTATAGAGATGTGAAGGCTTGAGGGGAAAAACAGGTGGGACCCAGTTTTACTCCATCCCCCCCTTATTTATTTCTTTAAAAATTGGAGGGAAATGGAAGAAATGGGTGAGAGGACCCCTCCCTCCTCCCCATATTTTTCTGTGGGTTTTCACCAAGACCTTCCTATTTCTAGTAATATATAACATAATGTCTGTGCTATAACCAGAGCTCTGCGATGGATAATTTAGCAAATATTAATGTACACAATGCTAGCATTTGAGTTCTTACATAGACACACAGTAACTTGATTTGAGGGTTATACAGTTCAGATAAGATGTGATAATAATAATACTTTTTTTAAAAAAGGTGGAGCAAAATATTTGAACACCTCAGTTGCCTTCTACTGAGCCAGATCACTGATCCAACTAGAACAGGGCGCTCTCTGCTCTGACTGGCAACAGCTCTCCACTGGTCAGGCAGAGGTTTGTCCCAGTCTTACTATTAGCAGAAGTGAGCACATGTATTTACCAGGAAGACACAGAGCCAATTCATGTATGCCTTTTGGTGTGGCAGGAGGTTTGTATAGCATCCAGGCTACGCAACACATCCACACCAGAACACACACTATGCTAAAACCTGGGAATAGCTGTAATGAAGTGTTAAAACAAGTGCTGTGCCAAAAATCTCTCCTATCCCCCCCCCATTTCCCATCTATTTTTGACGAGAAAAATTGTAACCAAAAATTGAAATAGAAATAAGATTTTTGTGAAATTCTCGTAGGTGGGGAGGTACATTCTTGTGGGGTTTTGTTGTGATGAATGGCTGCTAAGGTGGGCATGAGCTACCTTTGAACACCCTTTCTTTTGTTCCAAAAATAATCTCTCCAGCCTTCCTGGGTGTTCATTTTTCCTGGAAATCCCATGATGCCTTCAGCTGAGCTTCCATGTAAGCACAGGGAGGTGGGAGAGCTACCTATTATGAACCCAACAGCTGTTGTTTTTAACATGAAATATTTTTATGTTTTTTAAAAAGTGTAGATTTAAAAATAAAATCAGTGACTGTGTCAATCAGAGAGCCAGTGTGGTGTGGTGGGTAAGAGCGGTAGTCTCGTAATCTGGTGAACTGGGTTCACGTCTCCGCTCCTCCACCTGCAGCTGCTGGGTGACCTTGGGCCAGTCACACTTCTCTGAAGTCTCTCAGCCCCACTCCCTTCACAGAGTGTTTGTTGTGGGGGAGGAAGGGAAAGGAGATTGTTAGCCGCCTTGAGACTCCTTTGGGTAGTGATAAAGTGGGATATCAAATCCAAACTCTTCTTCTCTTCTTCTTCAATCTCTCAGATTGGTAGCCAGCCTCCTTAACTTTCTGTGCCTCAGTTAAAGCTCAGAATAAGGCACAGTGAAGTAAATTCTCCTATGGGTTTTTTTCTTCCAGATCAAGATATGCATGCAGCCCAGAAGGTTCAAGAGCACTGGATGAATGTTTAATCTTTATTTTAATGTTTAATCCCCATGCAATGATAAGGTAAGCTCAACCCTGCATTCACTGAATTTTTAAAGAAAAGTGCCACGAGAAAGAGACAGGCAAATAGAAACATCTTTTGCACTGAAATAAAACTTTTCAGTTACTGGTGAACAGGGTTCAGAACAACACTAATTAAAACCAACAGTCCCTCTTTACAAATATGGAAATCAACTTGCATTGAACAAGACAGAGATTCCTGGCTGTTCTACTGAGTGTGATGTAATGAAGATTAAATGCTGATAAGACTATGGCTTTGCTGGGATGAGAAATTATGCAATCAATCTCCTTTATTGGCATAAAAAGTGTGTGGATATACATGGATCAGAACACAACACAGTTAACGAAACATAGTAGGAGATACTTTAGGATAAAACTATCAGGACACCATGAGGTACAAAGATGGCTCTTAGGACCTATGGTGATGTAATTTCATAGCGTCACTCAAAAATCTTGCCACATTCTCCACAATATCATTGCTACAATCGTTCAGCAGATAAGACACTCTGGAAGCATCTGTGAGATAAATCTCCTCTTCAGTAAGGGGGTCAAATACTTATCATATATTCCTGCATAAAATAGGCAATTAAATAAAATGTGGGTGATGGATTCGACCTGTTTTGCGCCACGAGGGCAGTATCTTTCAGAGTATGGGATTTTCGAGAATCTACCTTGCTGAAGGTACACTACCTGAAAGTCTTTGAGCCAAAGCTGAACTACAGTGACCACAATGTGATCAAATGGGTGAGGTAATTGGTAGGAGTGGAATCTATGAGACAAGATGCTAGCTCTGAGCAGCCAGCTGGCTCCCTCTCCCCTAGTCTCCCTTGATTCCAAGGTACAATTGAAGAGCACCTCTCTGGCCCCTACTCTGTACACAGGCTGGAAGCTAGACTCCTGCGGCTTCTCTGGAAAAAGAACACTGGTGCCTGCTCTGGCTTCAGTCACTGTTGGAGTTTGCAGGTGGCGTTGGGCAGCCAGAGAGCCCCCTGCCCCAGCTCACCTCTTGCTTCTGTCCCAGGGTATAAAAAGGCCAGTCTAACCACCACCCAGGGAGCATCCACCACCATGTGATTAAACCCTCCTCTTCTGTTGGTGTCACCACTTGCATCATATCCTAGTATTTTTGGAAGTTCTTGTGCCTATGTACTTGCTGGGCAAACTTTGAGTTGACTCTGTCTCCTGTGCTTGCTATTGCTGTTGTGATTGGTTGGGGGCTCACACTTCCCCTCCCCTCTTTGTCGTGCAGAGTCCTTGATATGGAGCCCTGCTCTGGAAAGGCCTGTGACCAAAAAGGCTGAGGGCTGGCATCTGCTCCTTGTTGGGCTGGGGTGGGTGGGCATAGCACAACATTTGAAAGCTTTGGAGTCCTGTTAATGGCTGGCAAGGCCAGCGCCTCCCCCACCCTAGTCAGAACTACACCCTCCTG